TGCAAGGCCAAACACCACCTCGGCGGTGAGGAAAGGGTTTTAGTGGGTAAACAGCTTAGCTGGAGTCCCACACAACCCAGAGCGACAGACCACCATCTCTGGGAGTGCATAAAAGAGCATTTCCCAAACTTCACCGAAAAAAAAAAGTGGAAAAAAGGCTGAAGTCATCATGGTCCTCAAGCCTGGTAAACTTTAACACGATGTTAAGTCGTATAGACCAATTTTCCTCTTGCCAATAATATCAAAGCTTTTTGAAGAACTGTTGCTGAAAAGACTTAAACAAATATTAGAGAAACAAAAATTAATCCCCGATCACCAATTTGAATTCCGATCAAACTACTCTACAATTGATCAAGTGCACCGAATAACTGATGTAATAGAGAAGTCATTAGAAGAAAAGAAAGTCTGTTCAGCACTATTCCTCGACGTATCGCAGGCGTTCGACAAATTATGGCATGAAGGGCTGGTCTACAAACTAGGTACAATGTTACCTCAACCATACGTGGAAATTTATACTTCATATATCAGTAATAGACTATTCAGAATCAAGCAAGAAGGAGCTTACTCAGAGTTGAAGACAATCCAAGCGGGTGTGTCACAAGGGAGCGTTTTAGAGCCTGTTCTGTATTTACTTTTTACCAGTGATATACCCCAACTGAAAGAAGTTACAATAGCAACATATGCGGATGACATAGGATTAATGTCAACTGACACAAATCAAGTAACAGCCGCACAGAAACTACAGAAAGCGAGCGACGCTCTTTATAAATGGACCACCAAGTGAAAAATTAATCTTAACGAAACTAAATCGACCTATGTTAACTTTACCAACCAAAATTTGTCAGATTTCGCAGTAATAAATATTAATGGAACCGGCGTCCCACATGCAAATACTGCGAAATATCTTGGTATGACTTTGGACATTAAATTAAGATGGAATGAACATATCAGAAAGAAAGTAAAAGAGTTGAAAATGAAAATTGCGCAATATAGATGGCTGATTGGCAGGCATTCCAAGATGACTTTGTATACCAAACTTTTAATTTATAAACAAATTATTAAACCAACATGGCTCTACGGTATATTCAGCTATGGGGATGCACAAAAAGCACACACATAAAAAAGATTCAAACGGTCCAAAATAAGGCATTACGTGAAATAGCCAATGCCCCATGGCTCATCAGAAACAATGATATTTACAGAGACCTTGGAATCCTGACGGTTGAACAGGCAATCAAACGGTATGCAAAGAAACACCAAGCTAGACTACAGCTACATCCGAACGCAGAAGCCCGCCAGGTGCTAGATGATCAGAATTTATACCGCAGATTGAAGAGAACTAAGCCCTTTGAATTGATATAGTGTTTTAAGGGCAGAGCATGGTGTGTGTGTAAATATTGCCAATCTTCTGTGAGGCTAAAACTTGGAAAGTCAATGGACTGACTTAGTTAACTACCCTAATTTTAAGATTACAGATAAAAACTGATGGTTGGTCACGCTTGACTAGTTTTAGTAAATAATATTAATGAATAAAAAAAATATAAAATATACGAAAAAAACATCATTTAAAGTCGAATAGTTCAGTGCCAAAATACACAAACAATTGATTTCAGTGAAAGCATCAACAAAGATGTATTAGGGAAATATTAAAGACAAATATTAAATTGAAAAAATATACACATTTACAACTCAAACGCCAACGTTTATTTAACTACTGATTGCAAAAATGTTAGCAAATCTCCTTTTCCTTCGCCTATGTACGTACACCCCCGGTTCATCAACCCCTTGATATCCATAATGTTCCTCGGCTACATTAGGAGCGTAATGGTCAAAAACTCCGCCTCCTTCAGCCCTCCTTCGGATGAAATTAAGCAACATTAGCACCACTGCGATTGTTCCAGTGATGAAGCCTTTCACCAGAAGAACCTTTATGGCCGCTAACATTATAGGGATGATCGCTGACGATATGAGAAAGGGCACAATGAGCATTGGGAGGATTCTGCTCATCATGCTGTTTTTTTCAGTGCTTTTCCTCATGGAAGCTTGAAGGGTTTCTGCGGCATAAAAACCTTTAAAATTCTGCATAAAATATTAGACTACATTTACTTACCAGCGTGCTTAGCAACTAATCCAGATGTCGCTGAATTACTCAGTTCTACAGCCGCAGAGTAACTGAATTGCGAAAAAACCAAAACAACGTAAATTACGGAAAAAACATGCAAAGTTCGCTCACTGACCATCACACCAGCTGCAATTATGAAGGCCGCGCTATGATTGGCATATTCGAAATTCTTCGCCAGTTTCCACGACCCGTTCGAGTTCCTTCTTCTGTTCGCCGTTCTCAATTGCCATCGATCTGGGCCGGTTTGCGCTTTACAAGCTCAAGTTCAAGTTTGCGGTTCAGACCCATTAACCAACATCTAAGAGTATCGGCAATCAGAACAATACATGCAAATGCAAGAAAGTTTCATATTTTATCATCTTTCAAAAACAATTTATATTTAAATTATACAATTGTCTTCAACTTCAACGTCAGCTTGTTTTTTTTTAATGCAATCGGGAAGTCTAATAAATTTTTAGGAAGTTACTTTCAACTTTAAACGGTTAATTGGAAAAATCGTAGAATGGTTAATGACTTGAAACCTCATTAAGCAAATAATGCGAATTCAGCTCAAATTAGCTTCACTTTCGAGGCGACAAGTGCAAATAATGAAGACTTTGAAGGAGCTGAATGATAATTGCCATTTATACGGCAACAAATGTTAATATTTAACTGTAATTGAATGGCTTTCAAACCTTGGCCGGAATGTATGAGTGTTATACGGTTTTTTAATAATAATTCTTTATTAAATTTTGTAAGGTTATCTTAATTTTTGATATTATGATTTAGTGTCAAACTCTTCACAATTTTATTGAAATCGCATCAGATGCTTATTTATGCGCCTTTTCGAAAGTTGGTCTAAAAATTTAGGTTTTTCGCCAAATCCACGCTCTTCAATAAAAATTCGTAACTTCTAATGTAGTGCGAGTAGCAATTTGAAACTTTTATAGTCTATAGAACATAGTTGGGCCTAACAGCTGTCAAAATTTCATGCGATCGTGATTTTTGCGAACATTGTAAATGATGGTCTAGAAATTGAGGTTTTTGCAAAAGTGCGATGATCCAATAAAAAATTATAGCCTCTGATCATAGCCCTGTTTCAAGTCGCATGTAGCGACTTGAAACCTTACCAGTTTCTATAAGACATCTAGTTCAACAAGCCCCCTAAACCGCATTTAAATCCCATCCAAAACGAATTTTTGCGTTCTTTATAAACGTTAATCAAAAAATCAAGGTTTTCAGGCAACTGCTCCCACTGCTTGAAAAATTGCTAACTTCTAATCTAGAGCAAGTATGAACTTGGAACTTTCACACTTTATAATCCACACCTGAGTCTACAAACTGTAAAAATTTGATTTGAATTGAAAGAAATACTAATGTTTAAGCTTGTTGTAAATGTTGGTCTTAAAATTAAAGTTTTCGCGCAACTGCGCGAACTGATTGAAAAATTGATAACTTATAATCTAGATCAAGTAGACTTTTGAAACTTTTACAGTCCATAGGACAAATTTGTGCCTAAAAGCTGTCAACATTTTATACAAATCGTATAAAATTGTGATTTTTTCCAGCATTCTAGTATCATAATAAATCATTATAGTATCTAATCGAGAGCAAGTAGCGACTTGAAATATTGCCATTTTATATAAGACATCTAGCTCCACAATCCATCTAACCCGCATTTAAATTGCACCTAAAACTGGTTTTTACGCTATTTATAAATGTTAATCCAAATATAAACGTTTTAACGCAACGGCACCCACCGCTTGAAAAATTGGTATCTTCTAATCTAGAGCAAGTAGAAACTTGAAACTTTTACAGTCCATAGAACGTATTTGTTCCTAAAAGGGCTCCTAATTTTATGTATGTCGTATTAAATTGTGATTTTTGTCAGCATTGTAAATGGTGGTCTAAAATTAAGGTTTTTCCAAACAGCAGATTCTCCAATAAAAAATTATAGCCTCTAATCAAAAGCAAGTAGCGACTTGAAATATTGGCAGTCCATGTAAGGCATCTGGCTCTACAATCCCTCTAAACCGCATTTAAATCGCACCTAAATCGGGTTTTTACGCCATTTATAAATCTTGATCCAAAAAAGAGCTTTCAAGCAACTGCGCCCACTTCTTGAAAACTTGGCAACTTCTAATCTAGAGCATGTAGAAACTTCAATCTTCTATAGTCTACAGAACGTATTTGTGCCTAAAAACTGTCAAACTTTCACGTAAATCATATAAAATTGTAATTTTTGCGAGCATTGTAAATTGTGGTCTAAAAGTTAAGGTTTCAGCAAAAGTGCAGATTCTCCAATAAACAATTATAGCCTCTCATCGAAAGCAAGTAGCCACTTGAAATATTGGCAGTGCATGTAAGCCTTCTGGCTCTATAATGCATCTAAACCACATTCAAATCGCATCCAAAACTGATTTTTGCGCCCTATATAAATGTTCATCCAAAAACAAAGGCTTTCACGTAACTGCACCTACTGCTTGAAAAATTGGTAACTTGCAATCTAGAGCAAGTAGAAACTTGAAACTTTCACCCTCTATAAACCACGCGTGAATCTAAAAACTGTGAAACTTCGATGTAAATTGCATAACGTGCTAATATACGCACTTTTGGTAAATATTGGTAAACTAAAAATTTACGTTTTGCGCAACGCACGCTCGTCAATAAAAACTAGTAACTCCTAATAGAGCGCGAGTAGGCGTTTGAAACTTTCACAGTCTATAGAACAAATTTGTGCCCAAACTCGGTGGAAATTTCATTCAAATCATACAAAATTATGATTTTTGCAGCCCTTGTGGTCTAAAATTAACGTTTTCACGCAAGTGCAAAATCTCCAATTTAAAAATGTAGCCTCTAATTATCGAGCAAGTAGCAACTTGAAATGATCACAGTCTATGAAAAAACACTTGGCTCTAATAAAACTCCTCGAAATATCATTGAAATCGAACTAGGTGTTTATTTTTGCTCACTTCATGAATGAAGATTACGTTTTCTTCCCTGCTGCAGGCTCTTCAGTACCCATTCTGAACAATCCAGAGCGACTAGTACCTTGAAAGTAGCATAATCTATAAAAGTTCTTAAATCTAGGAACTCTCAACATTTGATTCAAATCATGACCGGTTATCACTTATGCGCCTTTTGCAATTGTTGATCCCAAAAATGATCGTTTATAGGTAAACATGTGCGGCCCTCCAAACAAATATTTTCACTTCTAATCCAAAGCAAAAAACTAGTTGACATTTATGCGGTCTATAAAAGACATTTGAATCTAAAAATCCTCGAAACGTTCATTGAAATCGCACCAGAAACAATTGTTTGCTTTTTTTGTAAATTTTGATAAATAAATCAGCGTTTTCACGCAAATGCAGGCGCTTTAACAAAACTCCCTGCACTTCTAATCTAGAGTCAGTAGCAGCTTGAATTTGTCACATTCTATAAAAGACTTAGTTGCGTATCTAATAACATACAAATTTTTTAGCGAAACCACATAAGATGCTGATTTACCTGAAAATCTAAAAAAATTGGCGTTTTCATGCAAAAGCAGACACTTGAATAAAACATTGTAACTTCTAGTCTAAAGCAAGTAGCTACTTGATAGTTTCACCATCAATCGAAGACACTTAACTCTAATATCACACTTAAGTACATTCAAGTCGACATTAGAAGCTGATTTTTGGGCCTTGTCTAAATGATGGTTTAAAAATGATCATCTTTCACGCCCATGAAGAAGCTCCATTTAAAAAGTTCTACTTTCTTATCATCAATATCAATCAAGAGCAAACAGCGACTTGAAATTTCTACACTTTATAAAAGACATCTCGATCTAAAACACCTCGAAAATTTGTTAAAATCACTTGAGAAATTGATTTTTGCGCCCTTTGTAATTGTCGTAAAAATTAACATTTTCACTTCAATGCAAACACTCCATTAAAAACTTCTGGCTTCTAACTAATAGCAAGTAGCGACTAAAAATTGGTTTGGTTTATATAAAGATTTTTAAAAGAGAAAATTTAGGCGCATAAAAATAAAACAATCCTTTAAATCACTTCAGAAATAATTTTTTCCATGCGTCTTTGGACATTTTCTCGCCGACGCAGGCACTCATGCAGATTAAAAAGTATAATTTTTAACCAAGAGGATATAGCTTTGAACTTTTCACTTGAAATTGTCACAGTCCATAAAAGACACTTGAATCTAACAATCCTCAAAAATGTATGGATGCTGATTTTTGCGCTCTTTGTAAATTTTGATCCAAAAATTAACACTTTCAAGCAACTGCAGTTTCTTCAATAACATCACAAAACTCCTAATGTGAAGTGAGTATTAACTCGACATTTCCACAGTTTATAAAAGAGATTTAGATCTAAAATCCCTCAGAAGTTCATACAAATCGCAGCAAATTGGAGAGAGAAATTTTTTCATTCCAAAAAGCTGAACAATTGGGATAAATAAGAATAAAAAAATATTTGCCTGTGAATTTTTTATTGTCGAGGTTATTTCTGAGGTTAATATTTTTACAAAAATCCAAGTTTTTTACCTCAAAAGGACATTCTGGTTCACATTTCAAGTTTCGACATTATCAGATCTTTTTGGCTTTAATTTTTATTTTTTGGATTCTTATTATGAATGGGATTAGGGATTCGTCCTCGAATCAATAAAAATTGAAACTGATCAGGAAAAACTTGATCAACAGGAAACTAACCAGTTGAAGAAAACAGTGAACATTTGATTCTCGTTAAAGGGGTAAAGAGTAATTTATAAGAACCATACAACAAAAAGAAGAAAAAATATTTATGAAGGCTGAAGAAGAGAAGAAGATATGAGAAGTAAATGCGATTTTGATCAAATTGCTGAACCTTCATTAATTCTATTAAATGATTCCTTCCTTCAAAACCTTCCTTCAAAAGTTGTAAATTAAAAAAATCTGCCCCAAATTAATTTCAATGAACTCTTCGCTTTCTGTGAAACTCAAGTTCCTGCTATCCGCTTCTTCTTCCCTTGATGTAAATTTGGTAAAATCGGTATAAAAAATACTTAGTTGCAGACAGGAAAATTAATAAAACCAAATATTTAGATCAATAACAATTAGTACAAGCAAAATTAGAAGAAACTGTAGAAAAGGAACGAGGCAATAATTTCTTTTAAAATTTCGTTTTAGAATTATTGGCAAAAGTCACTTTAATTTGTAATAAAAATCATGAATGTTCCATAATATCGGTTGGAATCTGCATTTTACATTTGTAAATACTACACATATTAGATCCATTACTTAATACTTTTGTGCAATTTTCGCGATTCCCGTTACATCGAAATCCGCTTACGGCCTTTTTAAGACCCGATTTTCTGTTACCAGTACCCGCTTTTAAACGTGCTAGATTGTTGGCAAAGTCTGCCACATTTCGCTGCCAATCATCAGGTTAGACGTACATAAGTAAGGTGGGTTTAGCAATGTTTAGTACACACAATTTGTTGATTTTTTACGCGATTTTGTTGACCCGTGACAAGGTTTATTGTGCCGAAAATCACGCGTTTTTCGTCGGTGAAGAGCCGGGAAATCGAACTTGTGTAGCCCATCAAAGTGAGGAATTTGATAATGGAGTTTTACAAGGTAAATCGGGGATTTTGCGTGGAAAAGCATTGAAAATCATTAATAAAGGAAAATTAAGAAAAATTAAACTCTTTGTCCCTTTATAAAAAAATTAACCATCGCTCAAAGCTGCATTTTTTATAATTTTTCTAAAATTTCAGAATTTCGAAAAAGCAGCAGCCAAACAAACGACGATATTCTAACGCGCCTCATTCCGATGCTTGCAACACCTTTCCTCATCCAGACAACATTCCTGCCCATGATGCTGTTGGGAATCAAGCTGATGCTGATCCAGAGCATAGTTTTAGGAAAGTTTGCCATCATATTTTGGCTGGTGAATTTGCTCAGATGGAGGCTGAAAGACCAGCACGGGCAATTTTATAGTCACAATGTTCACATCCGGCATGGATCGTAACTAGGAATTCTTCTGAGAAAAAAATTAGTGTAAATACTAATCGTCGAGTCAATATTTGTGTGTGTGTGTGTGTGTGTGTGTGTGTGTGTGTGTGTGTGTGTGTGTGTGTGTGCAGATACATACCTCCGTTTTTCCTTTGGAAACGCAGTTGGCTACATTGGAGGGTTCCAAGTTGAGCGCGTCTCTCTGCAACAAAAACAAAACCATTTAAAACACTGCCAAATTTCAACGATTTCAGCTCGAACAGTCGACGTTTGCGAGCGTCCCATTATCTTCAATCATTAAATTGGTTGCGATTTATCCAGGCTAACAAGTGTAGCTTCGGCTCTTGGCAAGTGCTCCAGAAATCCCGAACCTACTTATTAATTCTGTGCTCGCAGACACGTCAATCCCATATCACATTTGGCCGACAAAACACTTCCCGTCGGGAGTACGTCTTCCTTGACTGGAATAATAGAAAATGTTGCTAAACTTCGTCAAATATTCTCGCCAGTTTTCGGAAGCACGAAGAGATTTTGCGTCAAGCGAACATAATTGAGCTAGAAACGTTATGCGATTGGCACATCATTTGGAATAGTTGAGAAAACTGTCTTGAGATACAGCTTCTTTCTTCTTCACTCTTCAATTTCACAGAACTTGGATTTACAGATATTGTGAATTACGGACAGAAAAATGTCTTCCCCAGTTATGAACAAACAGCTTCGGTTCTAGAACTTCGTTTCTCTATAGAACGCGTCGTTGCAAACTTTACATTTCCCCAGCGTTTAAGCCCCCAGTTATGAATTTTCTTCAGAAAACCGCCAGATTTGAAAAATTCTCTAAAAATTTCTCAAATAGACTCAAACTTGAAATTATTTGAGTATACACCAGCGACTTTCTCTATAGAACTCCATTTGGTTATATTTGGACACATCTTCAAATAGAATCGTGTATAAATGAGCCCAAATGAAAGAGCAAGATTTGAACAATTCTCAGAAAATCTCTCAATTAGACTCAAATTGGAAACATTTTTCACGTAACCAAACGCCTTTTGTTTGTGTTTTATAAAACGCAACACACTTCCACATCGATTCGAACTTATGAATTTTCCAATAGAACCGCATATAAACAAGCCATTGCAACAGCCAACAGCAAGATTTGAAAAATTCTCAGAAAATCTGTCAAATGGACTCAAATTTCATATTTTTCAAATATAAACAAAGGACTGTCCTCTATAAGTCACAACATTGCATACTAAAAATGTCAGGTTCATTTCCGAGTTATAAATTTTCCATTAAACCTGGCCTAAACCAGGCTTTTACGAAAGCAGACGATTTGAAAAATGTTCAGAAAATGCCGAAAATAGACTCAAGTGTGAAACTTTTCGACCATAAATACGCAACCTTCCTCTATAAAACAAAGCGTCGCGCACTCTGCATTTCCGTTTCGTTTCCGAGTTAGGATTTTTTAATAAAACCGCGCCGCCGAAACCAGTCTTTTACTAAAGGACAAGGTTTGAAGAATTCCTAGAAAATGTCTCGAATAGACTCAACTTTCACATTTTTCTAACGTAAATAAAGGACGTTTTTCTATAAAACGCAACATTCATGGTTATATATTTACAAATAGAACCGCGCATAAATCTGGCTTTCAGAAAAAGATAAGATTTGAAAATGTCGACGTAGTGTTTGACGTAAAAAAAGTCGAGAAAAGTGTTTGCTGTGAAGTTGTGTCGAGCTGTTGGGGCACGACACTGACTAGAGCCCTAAAAACACTTGCTTTTCACTTATTTAGCTTTTAAATAATACCAACCAGTGTATTGTCCGAAGACTTCAACATCCAACTATGTCCAGAGTGTCTGACTGCAAAAAAATCGCGACAGACGAGTGTTTGTTGTGAAGCGTTGCTTCGCACGCTAGAAAACAATGTTTTCACTTAATTTGCTTCTGATTATTTCCTACCAGTCGGCACAAATTTACATCAAACTACGTCGATCTGGTTGCAAAGTAAACCGAGAAAAGTGTTTAGTGTCGAAGTTGTGCCCAGTAGGCCTGGGTAATTCAGTTGCGCTTTTGAGTTGTTGCCGCTCTCTGAGTTAATGATTATAACTGATTTACCGATGACCGAGACTGGAATTTTAGGATCAAACAAATCCTCGACTCAACAAAAATTCACTGAGTTACCTTTTCTGTAGAAACGATTGCTTTCAAATATTTGGTCGAAAATGGGAAAAACCGGAAATTCGTTTCGGAAAACCGGAAAAACTTTATTTTATTCGAAAAAAAAAAACAAGATAATTTTGTTTTGATTTTGTCCCAAATTCAAAGGTAAAACGGGTATTCGAAAAAGACGATAAAGAAGACCAAACTAAAAACGACGAGTTTTCTGGTAAAATCGATCTCTTAATTTTTGTGCATAAAAGTCTTAGTTTGCCAGTTCTTAACAGAGAAACGTTAGGAAAAAACGATTTTTTCTGTTTGGGAGAGTGTTTTCCTTAGAAATATTGTCCTAAAAGCGAAGAAACCGGAATTTAAAAAAAGCCAAATTATTCACAGTGACGAAGAAGACGCGATTTCCAAATAATTGATTATGAGCTTTCGCTTGTTCTGTTCGGGAAATATTGTAGGGCAAAAATTATTTAGGTTTTGTCGAAAATTTGAAGCTGCGAAAGTTTTAGAAATATTTTTGTAAAGCTGTTAAGGAGGCGAGTGTTCCAAATAATCTATTTTATAATTTTTCACAGAAAATACCTGAACACTGTCAGTATTTTTAAGTAAAGCTAAAAAACAACGCGTTTTTGAGTAGAAAGAATCGATTGATAAAATCTTTGCTAAAGCTAGAAAGACCTAAAATTTTTAAGAAACTAAGAGCGATGAGGGTAGCGAATTTTCCAAATAATTTCTTATAAACTTTTGCTCGCTGGTCGTTTTTTCAAGATATTTACGTGATTTCAAGATCTTAATTACTTTGACTAAAAAACTAAATCAAATTTTCTGTTTTTTGTGGCAAATTCGAAGCTGAAAAGGATTTTCTGAAATTCCCTACAAAGCGATGAATGAGGAGAATTTTGTAACAGCATTAATTTTGTACCAGCATTAATTTTGTATTTTTTCGCTGAATAGACCCCATGCTTTCAAGGAAAGAAGAAAAGCATCAAAAAAGGTTTGTTTTGCGCTTTTGATTAAAAACATTTAGTTTTGTAATAGGTTTTTGAGAAAACCTTAATGGTTTTCGGGAAAAGACGGAAGAAATTTATTTTCGTTTTCGTCCCGAATTCAACACTGAAAAAAGTTTTTGTAAAATTCCCAGAAAGCTCTAAATTTATAGTGTAATTTTTCGCGTTAAAGACTTCCAGACTTCTTTACGTAGAAAGTAAAGCAACAAAAAAAATCAGTCAAAACTAAGAGACCACAAGTTTTTAACAAACTCTACAGTTTCCAGAGGGATGGGGGTGACGAGTTTTCCAAATCATCTATTATAAACACGCTGATTTTGCTCGTTTTTTGATAAAAAAATATTTGATTTTTGTGCCAAATTCAAAGCTGGAAACGGATTTCGAAAATGCTGAAATGCAAAGCGACGAAGGGGGAAAGCGTTCTAGTAAAATTTATTTGATAATTTTTCGTAGAGTGTGCCTTAGATTGTCAGTATTTTATCACGGACGTTAAAATAAATGTTAAAACAATTAATAAAAAAAGGTCATCAATATTTTCCCAGCAACGGAACCGAGTTACTGCGCTGCACTGCGCCAGCTCCTAAAAATTCAATGAGATACCCAGGCCTAGTGCCCAGCACATTTTTTCCATGTCAGAATTGTACATCTTTCGGAATCAACTCCTCACTTGCATGCCGAACTGTGAACCTGAAATCTCGCAAACCAGACCCACTTACTTACAACTAATAAATCGCGATAAAAACGAAAAAAAATCTGGTAGATAAATGACAGGCAATAAAAGGGCCGTTATAAAAGATAAGCCAATTTTGAGCAGAGGCGTGTCGGCCCCAGAGAGGCAACTAGGCGTTAGATTTAAAAAATTCAAAAGCCATCCTCAACGCGATGTCGCGATAGCCATTTGTCTTCATGATTTGATTTTCTTCGGTGGGGGACCGGAATTGTTTTCATTATCTTTGTCGAAATACATCACAAGGCCGTTAAAGGAGTCGAAAGGTCTGTGAGTCGTTTCGATTCTTGAGCCCCGAGTTCAACAATGAATGGGGAAAACATCGGCTAATTTCTTGGGGAATCGGCCCAATGACAGACAGGCCACGTAAATTCAAGGTGTCTCAAACTAATTAAAGTAGTTAATTTCGCGGGGTGGAACAAATGGCGTCCATTACTCGTTTTCTGCTTGGATGTGGAGTGGCGAAAGTCCCAAGGGTGGGCTTTTATTGCCTCACGTCGTATTTTCCTACTAATCTATCGATTCTGGAGCAGTCTTCAATTTATGACCAGTTTAGCCCAGTGGTAGACGGATAACCGTGTTATTGCCAAAATACCAAGGGAAATAACGCCAACCACACGGCAATGACGCCGAAATGAAAACCTAAACCGCATTAATTCCGATTTGATTACAATGGAAGGAAAAATTGAAAAACAAAATTAAATGCGCCGTTTCATAATATTGCCGGTAACAACAATAACATTTATAAAATTTGTATTGTGCCCGCTTCTAATATTCCCATTCAAGGAAGAGGAATTAGATTAAAAACACATTTTCCGATATTAAAACTGGGTTTATGGTCTATTAGAGCGCCGGGTCGAGGCGAGCCAAACATATTTTTCACTTTATTGAAAATACGACAATGGGGGGAGTGAATTGGGCCGGCATTTTCACATTGGAAAGTTGCACTCAATTAATTGCATTTGACCTGCATTCGACTGGCCAACCAAAAGACCCTGAAGACAATTTGGGACTGATGATACTTTAGCAGTTAAACATAGGCGCCAAAGGAAACTTTCCAAACCAAACCACATCAGCCTGAAGTTTCGCAGCTCATCCAGCACAATCCCACATTGACCTGCAGGTAATCGAAATTATTAATAAAGTTTCCTGCAGGCGATTGGTTCATGAACGGCGACCTGTGAAGAGTTTAATGGTCGAACTTTC